TTAAGGGGAAGTACGAATGGAATCGGTTTAGTAGTTTGAGCTGGCCAAAGGAAAAATTTCATACCTTTAGAAATAAGCACTGGTAAATCATTTCTTTGCTCGAGAAGCTCAAATCAACACAGGTTCCTGAAACTGTTACTCTTGTCACTGCTTTTTCTCAGCTAGGTATCTTCAGACTTAACAGTTTCTTCTTTGACTCTTTGCTCCTACTTCTCCTGTAATTTTTTTTTTTTTTTTGAAGTATTATCCATTTGACACTACTGATTTCCCCATCCCTTATGTTTTACCACAGAGTCTGGGAATGTCAGTGAAGTGGGACACTATAGCGGAATGGACTGGGTTCTGAAGTACAAAACAAGAAGTGTTTCTTTCTGCCCCTTCTAATTGTCAGTATTCAGTGAGACAGACAATTTGCTAGCCCGGTTGGCAGCTGTATGAAAGTATTCACCACCAGACTTTATCTTTGTGAGACATTTAAGGCAGAATTCCAGAGTCTATAACAGCTCTTGTAAATGTTTATATGAGAAACCTCTGAAATTTTCAGAATAACATGAAAAGGTATGAAAATACTTGTCTGAAAAATAGAATCTTGCTGTCATTGACTGAGCAGAGTTGGAAGCTGATTTCTTGTATTGCAATTTGTTAAGGGTGCTGAAAATAAAGATGAGCAGCCTTGTTCTGGCAGAGAAGAGAGAACCAGTGGAAGGATCGGAGAGGCAGAGAGAGTTAATAGCGAGGAACTTTAAAGGAGGGTTCTGATTGGATTTGGGAAGAGCAAGACGAAGTTTGTCATGACTAATGTGACGACACAGCAGCGAGGAAAGCCCGGATGAGGCTGTTTACAGTCTACACACAGAGTTACAGCTTTATGCAAAAAGACTGCCATGTTTAAACAGAATCTGAACGTATGGAACTTGGAGAGGCTGCAGCAGGAAGCTGGTGTTGCCCTCACTGACCAAGAAATAGATTGATGAAGAATAATAATCTGTGGCCACTGGATACATGCGAGCAGATGCTGAAGGAGAGGTAGATGCTTGTAGCTGAAAGGTTATAAGGTTGCCTGCAGAGAAATAAGAGTTGAAGTCAAGTACTTACATCCACATTGCAGAATTAAAGGTAGTAAGACAGGGAGAGATGAGCGGAATATTGGTGGGAATACTGTTGGCAAATATTGGCAAAGATTTCTCCACTCCAGTATGGCAGAGAGTATGAACAAGCTGGTACTGTAGCAGACTGGGAGATAAGGTGGGGTCTGCAGGACATGTAGAGAGGTCAAATTAGGAGAGCGTTCAGGCAGATGTAGATGTCTGTAACAAGAAAAGGAGGCTTAGAGTGAGGGAATATTGTACTTCGATGTCATTTTATGTGGTGGTGTACTACAGTGTTGATTTTGTCTTGAAAGAAATGAGATCCTACTCAGAATCCCCATGCTTTAGTTCCCTCCCCACCTTGTAATTGCCAGTATGGAACCATGTGTTTTCCTCTACTGTTACCACCCTTATCTCTTCCTGCTGTAGTGTCAGCTCCCTTGGGGAGGAAGAAGAGTGCACCCCCACCTTTGATAATGTCATTTTTTTCTTCCCCCCCCCCTTAACTTCCTGCTTCTTTTATTGACCATGATTATAACCTCTAATGCTGTTTCTGTTGCCTTCCTCTGTTGGCAACTTTTCTTTGTTTCACTTTTTTTTTTTTTAATTTTTATTATGGTGCTATGAACATGATCATAAAAAACAGGAAGGCCATTAGACTAAATGTTTTCCTATGCCTTATGTAAGACTTGTAAGTTATGAGATAGGATGTTTGAGTTAATACTGTTGGATGGACGAAGGATGTTCATGCTTGTGCACCATGCCCCCCTCCTCCCCCTCTTCTTTCCATGTCTCGCACAGACTCTGGAGAGACGGTCAGGACCTCTCATTGCTGTTAGTTGTGAAAGTTTCTTACATCAATGAAGATTTCAAGACTAACAGTACTAACACACACCTAACAATCTGTACGCTAAAGTTCTTGTGAATGGAAAAATAGCCTTTATAGCATCATACAAAGTGAATGTGGGTTGAACTTTCAGCACCTGGATTGATGATCAACTTGTGAGTTTGATTGAATATTGAGAAAATAAAGAGAAGATGTAACATCACAGAAAGAAACTAGAAAGGACCTTGAATCCTGCAGTAGTTGGCCTGTACTTGTGTGTGATTTTTCAAGTGGTCATTCTCCTGATCCCCTCGGCAGCCCCAGATTCTTCATATCTACCTGACTGTGGTCAGCGTGTCAGGGAAAAGAATAAGAACAGAATGAGTATTTATTGATGTTTTCCTAGAATCTGGTGTACATTTCTGGCTCCCTGTGCCTTAGAATGGGTATCACAGAACTAGAGAAGCTTTGGAAGTGATTGACAAGGAACAGCCAAGTAAACTAGGATTCTTCAGCGTAGAAAGGATATGTCTGAACGGATGTGATATACGTCTACAGAATCACATGTGCAACAGGTAAAAGAAGAATGTGAAATAGGTGTCCGGTCTGTTCCAATGTGAAAATAGAGATAGTGAAGGAAGGTGGTGGTCCAGAGCGAACAAAAGCTGACGATTTCTCATGCAAAGTGCCACTAAACTGTGAAAGTTCATTCAACAAGCAGGTGTGAATGCTGAAAGTTTATACTAGTTCAGAAAACAGTTGGACAAACTGGTGAAAAGAGAAAGCCGTTAAGAGAACTTAGAGAAAGGCTGTGACTCAAGGAATCCCCGAGCCACAAGCTGTGTGTCAGGGAGCCACTAGAAGGCTGGAGAGTTTCTTGGGAACTACTGGTATGTGCTTCCTAAATGGCTGCTGCTGGCCATCATCAGTCATAGCATGTGAGGCTAAAGGGGCTTTGATCGGGTCCAGTATTACCGTCTTTATTCCTCACTAAAGTTTTTAAGGTCTAGCTGACATACAGATGTGTGAACTCCAGTTAGTCATCTTCCACATATTTGTGAGGACTGCATATGAAGCTGGTAAGGTAGCACAAGTTAAGACATCAGCAGTTGATCAAACTAAGATCTGTACTTTTGTAACCTTAAATTGTTTGAGCATCCTTATACCATGGAGCCAGTTCATTTAATAATAAATGTTCACCAGCCTGTGATGGGAGTAGTTACCACATTAGTAAATATTTGATTGAGCTGACGGTTAGCTATATGCCATAGTTTTACATAGAACAGAAATTGAGGGAGAAAAATGAAAGGTTTTCTTTTTGCTGTAGCTTGGGTTTAGGAATACATTTGAGTGTTCAGGTAGTATAGCTTGCCGCTAACTAGCACAATGGCTGTTGGCTAGAACTGCTGGCTTTCTGACACTGTTTCTTGATTAAATGGAAAGCATATGACTCAGACCTATTAGACCATCACGTAGCTGGTAAAGATGTACTCTAATGAATGCAGTATGTGTGATGAAGCATAATAAATGTTAATGGTGAAGAATTCTATGTTAGAACTTGTCACTTGGATATGAATTATAGGTACTATAATAATAGATAAGTAGGTACAATGAAGCACGCAACTAGTGATCTGTAGTATTGCTTTGAATGATAAACTATTTTTTTTCTCTGATTTTTCATATCTGAAAATCAGGTTTAAGAGGCAAGTCTAAATTTGTCTCATTATTCTGATAGCCCAACAGGTAAAGCTTTCTTTCTTTGATGGAGAGGTGGGGGGAAAGAACTCCCACCAGAACAGGAATGATAAAATATGTCAGGTAAACTTTAAGATTTGTTTGTATAGCTTGCTGTGTCTGATCCTTTCCTGAACTGACTTTGTCTATTGATTGTTAATGGAAAACACAGTTCAGAAGTGTAACTTTACATGTGATGTTTGTGAAAGGCTGCAGATTAATGCACTTTGAAATGAAGCCATCTAGGCAGGGATCAACAGTTACTTTATTTGAAGATCTGATAAGTCTGCTAGGCTCTGGACCAGAGATTGAGAATTTGCTGCAGATCTGATGGAGCCTACATATTAAATGCAGAATTCTAAGGATTACATCTTTTCAGCTATCGGAGAGAAATATCTTGTGTTTAAAAAAATGTATATGACCTGCTTTTTTTTGGTTAGAGCCATAATTTACCTGCTCAAAGCACAGATGCGAGCAGTGTTTAATCAATGTCTTCTGATCTTGAGAAGCTGAAACTATACACAGCTTCATAGGTGCTTGGACCTCGTTGGTGAACTTGTCTGGATTTTTATGGTATTTCAAATCTTCACCAGACCGGTATGCATTTCAGTGTTCGCTGTTAATCTGTAGCTGGAGAGTACAATAGAGACAAAGTAGTCATCGAATTTGTCAACTAAGCAGGATTGTTTTAAGGCTTCATAGTATATTCAATTTTCTGGCATCCTATGTGAGACAAACTATGCTGTCAATTGAATCAGTGTCCAGTTTGGGGTTTGTTGTTTTTTGTTTTTTTTTTTTCTTTGACTGCCTTTCACTAACTACTTCTGTAAAGCTGCTGCTAGATGGTAATAGTATTTCCGAGCATGACTAATACACTGTGGTTTAATGGACTGTAGGTGGCATTGAGTAAAGCAGCCCTAAGACTACCTGAATCTGAAAGTAAGAAACAGTTCATAGAATCAAAAAACTCTGTAGAAGAAACGAAAGTGAGCTTCATGTTGTGCTAAAGAAATTTACTGTAAATAAAGACTCCATCTATAGACTAGTGTAACTTCTTTAACATCTATTTAAAGTGACCTACTTTTCTTTTAAAATCCTCCTAATTCAACTAGTAACTGGTAAAATGATGTATTCTGACAATATAATCCTGAAATCTTTGTGTAGACAATGCTGACATGTCTCATTTTGAGCTCATTTAAGACCCGTTAACATGTTTTAGACTGGAGTAACCTATTAAATAAATACATCAGGAAAAAGCTTTTACTGGTAATGGTTGTTTTGCTTAGGTGACTATGGCTGTAATGTATTGTGAGTACATCTGGTACTTCAGTGCTTATCAGTGATCTTTTTTCCTTTAGGCGGTTTCCTAGAAACATGATTGCTTGCTGGTCTTGATCTCACAGCTTTGTGAAGACTTCTTCCCTGATAATGTCAAGTTCAGGCTACCCTCCTAACCAAGGAGCATTCAGCACAGAACAGAGTCGTTATCCTACTCACTCTGTCCAGTACACCTTCCCTAGCACCCGACACCAGCAGGTAAGGAGACATGAGGGTTACAGATCTAGCAAGGGTAAAATTCGGGTGTTTGCTGTGCCAAATGGGATTGTGTTTGGTTGTGGTTTTGTTTTTGGTTTTTTGTTTGCCTTTATTTTTTTTTTTTTAACCCAATGCAATACAAGTCATTCACATTTGAAAACAGTGGAGTCACAAACTTTTTTTTTTTTTTTTGCTAAAAGCACTGTGTTATGCTTCTTCAGGATTGTATATGTATCTGCTTTTTTGCTTGTTTTTTGACAGAAAACTGAGTTTTATAATTCTATATCTTTATTACTGGGAATTAATATAAACTTCCTGGTTTTTCATAGTTTGAATAAATTCACTAGGGATTTATTATGTGTTAATGAACTTTTGTTGTAGTTTTGCTTTAATTTATTAATGTTTTGTCATCATGCAAAATTTGTCCAACATAAGAGTGGCTGAGTCCATGTGCATTGGTAGCAATAATTTTCCAAGAATGTGCAAATGATCTGTCTACAGTTAGTATGCATTTAATATAAATGCAGTGTTCTGGGTATAACAAATCCTTCCAGAGAATGGGCTCTTGGGGCATTTATAGGAACTAAATTTTTATGGGGACTTAATCTCCTGTTAGGCCCAGGAGCAAAAGAAGTGAACCTATAGTTGTCTTTCCTTCTTCTCTGTAAGCAGTATTGGGCTAGATTCTCTCTAAGCTAAATGTAGTGCTTGACAAAAGCTGTGTGCAAGGTGGGGGATGTGAATCTTGTGTTACACTGAATTTTTTGTGAAGCAGCTGTACTAGTGCTTCCAGCTAGCTGTGTTCTGCTAGCCAGAATTGGGATAATGGATTTCTAAGAATCTCCTACTTGCTCATTTCTGCTGAGCATTTACTCTGCCGTCGTGTGCTCTCTGTGGCATGGTAGGCTGTGGAGGACTAGCTGTTGACTTTAGAACAGCTCAGGTTTCCCTTGTTTTAATGTAATTCTCCTGCTGCTACAGATACTTTAGAAGTTTTATTCTATTTACATGTTAGTGAAAGGAAATTCAAGAATTGGAGCTTTTTGCCTTGCTCCATATTATGTTTAGGTAATTTGTAAAAGCTAAATCTTATGGATAATGACCTATTGTGTGTCTTGTAGTTTCTCTTCAGTTAATACCAGCTGCATATAATTTTTAAGAGCAAGTGGTCAAAGACCCATATATATAATTAAACTGTCTTGTACCTTACTTTGATTATAAATAATAGCAGTCAGGGATGCATCTTAAGTCTCTTAGTCCTAATTAATAGTGTCTGATGTAAAAATGTCCTGAGGTGATAACAGAAGGAATTGCCTTGGGGTTGCTCATATATATTCTCATTTTACCACTTTGTGGTTGGATGTGCAAAATTGATCTTAAAGGATATTATTTTGAAGGATATGCTTCTGCTGCTGACTGATTTGCGTTTTTTGAGACGATATTAATAAGTTAGGTGAAATTCTTAGTGTAGCATTTGAGTATTTAGTCTCTTTGAAGTTCATTTAAAAGTTAGAACTGCCATTTACAAACTTTCTTTTTTGAGCTGGAATAAGGCTTTGGCGATCTGGACTTGGTCTGTATTTAATATCTTTGGAAGCGATTGTTCTGTGACACCAAAGGCTTTTGATCCTGTCTTCTGTGCCATTGTTCTTGTTAACATCAGGAGTGTGTTTCGTTTAGGAATTTGCAGTTCCTGATTACCGTTCGTCTCACCTGGAAGTCAGTCAGGCAACCCAGCTCTTGCAGCAGCAGCAGCAACAGCAACAGCAACTTCGGCGCAGGCCTTCCTTGCTTTCTGAATTTCACCCAGGCTCTGACAGGTGAGGGTGCTGTTTTTGAAGGACGTGAACACGCATCTATGAGTCTGTGCTTTCTGTAAAGTTAGTTTTAACTTTTGGATAGAAAGGTTTTTAATCTTTCACAGTTTTTGTCTAAGTGCTTGACTTGATTAATCAGTACTCCGTTGTAACAGTGTGAGTCTCCTGTGTTTGAGTGTTGTAACTGTTGTGTAATTCCTCAGTCCCTTTGGCTTAACTAATCCGTTTGTTTCACAGACAGGAAGTGACATTCTGCTTCGCTTTTCCCACGCCTCTCCTAACAACGGTGTCAGTAAACTTCTGAGAATCCAAGTGCATATTGCAAACTTTTTAATGCTGTTTAGGCTAGAATTGTGTAAAGTTGGTACCTTTGGATAGTTTAATCTGGCTGAGTAGAAGCAACAAATGCAAGAGTTGTTACAGGGTGAATATTACCTGTCATATTTCCTTGATTAGGCTTGCATATTCAACAGATGGTATCTGTGTGGCTGGGCGAGTAAGAAACACAGAGCTAATTGGGTGTTGGAGTTGTAAGGATTTTAAAACACTGAAATGTGGCACGAAATGAACTTCTAGGCACAGAGGACTGAATCAGAGCGTATGCTGCTACTGGCAAGGCACTTGACAGCTTCATATCATTTGTTCAAAGTACCCTTTTTGTCAGTCTCCTATACCATTGATGTCCCTGTGTAAGGAGATGCAACTGATCTGGGTCCAGTAGGTTAACTGAGGACAAGTATAGAGGACAACTACAGTGAATCGTATGTTGTAATTTAGTTTCAGATTGGTAGTGTCTTACTTCTCAGTAAAATGGGTTACTTCACAGCGGATATTGATGAATGTTCATATATATATTAGTATTACTGCAAGGTTGATAGGTTCAAGAAAGCTTTCAGACTGTGTAAAGCATTCCCTTTGCTGTATACGTGAAGGATATTGGATGTACTCTGAAAACCAAATTTAGAAATTGAAAACCCACTACAGCTGAGAATAAGATTAACTGGATTGTCATAAGTTAGCAAGAATATGCTTCTGTTTCGGGGAGAGGTTACTGTATGGTTTAGGCACTGCAGTTCTTTAGCGTATGTATTAGTATGCTGATGTACAGTTGTAAGCAAATGTTAATTGCTCGTAACAACCTCTTTTTTTTTCTTGGACCCTTAGTAAGTATATCTGCTAGGAGTAACTTTATCTGCTGGATTACTGCTAGCAGTTTATTTTGGCTATAACTGAGGTATCTGGTTCTGAACAAATACCGGTGATGAGTGTTATGTAAGTACTGGTCTAGCTTAAAATCTCGTTAGAATATTCCCAGAAATAACTTGATGATAGTGAAATCTGGGGCTTGGATATTTGCCTTCATCTTGTGTCAAAATGTCAGTAAGGCTCTGTTTGAGTGCTGAGAATCATGGTAGCTTTAGAGTTCTCAAAACTTCAGTTTATAGCAGAAGTAAATTCCCCACCCACCCCACCCCCTGCACATTGTAAATTTGTAAAATCTTATTCAGTAGTTCTGGCAAAATACAGGAAACTACTGTCATCTCTTCAGTGGCACTTCATAGTAAGATGTTGAAGCATATGGGGTTCTTTTATGGACACCCTATGCATTGCACTGTAAAGAAGCTAGTGATACTGTTCTTTTGCATTTTTCTGAGAAGGAGGAGTTTTTAAATGACTCATGGATTGAATCAATGACTGTTTCTATCATGTAGTAGCAATTTAGTAGAGATCAAGTTCCAAATAGACTCATGGCTCATTTCAAGCATTCTGTGTATGTTTAAAAATTATTTGGCTGCAAAAATGAAATAATGGAGCTGTTGTGGCCATCTGTGTTCAGTGGAATATAGCGCTGTATTTGTCTCATGGATATTTTTTTGTTTATAATGTGAATCGGAGCTTTGATGTGAACAATATCTTTGTAGCAGTGGTAAGTTTCTTTAAGGGTTTGTAGTTACAGGCATGCATTTAAACAGTGTCTCAAGATTCAAGTTGACTTTTGCTTTTTCAATGGATTTTAACTGTTGTATTTTTGAAGATCATACTTAAAACCATTTGTCTGCCTTACTGTTCAGAAGGAGCTTCACCAAATTTCATCTATGTATTTGAAGACGATTGAGGAACACCAAATAGTTTTCTTGTATGGAAAATGTATATTTTAATATTTTTATCTTTTCTGTGTTCTAGGCCTCAGGAAAGGAGAACTGGATATGAACAGCAATTTCATCCAGGTCCATCTCAGACAGATCATGATTCACTGGAATCTAAGCGACCACGTCTTGAACAAGTGTCTGATTCCCATTTTCAGCGTGTCAGTGCAGCTACTGTCTTGCCTTTAGTACATCCTCTGCAGGAAGGCTTGAGATCTGCAGATATTAAGAAGGTAAAGCCATTTTCTATTACGGTGCTGAAGGTGTGACTTCCTGTGTTGCGGTGAGCTAATAAATTTTTTTTCTGTTAGGTAATTTGTTTTTGTTTCTTTGGGTTCATTCTTTAATCCCATAAATTTAATTTTACACATTATCACAAACTCTGATCATGAGTCAATGTTACTCTGTTACAAAAAGAACAAGAAGATGAGTGCCTCAAACACAGTAAAGAGACTGCAGTTCTGAGTTGCCACTACGCTCTTAGGTCATTAAAACCTCAGTTGCAAAATGATTATAGTATAGTGCATGAAATATTTCTGCTTTTCAATTGAAAGCTGTTGGCAAGTGCATGCAAGTCCATTTTCTTCCTGTAATTAATATTTGTACTGAATAGTCACAGTACTCGTGCCTCCTTTCCTTTTTAAGCATTTGAAATGAATCTGCTTATTTACATAACACTAATTATACTTATCACTGTCTTATTTGGGGTAAATATAGGATGATCTAGTTTGGTGTGGATATTTTCTATTGTAGATACTGAATATTGATTAGAGCAATTTGTATAGAGCAGACAAATGACTCTTAAGTGAATATTTAATATCCTCTCTCATGCATGCACACAAGCACGCAGCCTCACACCCCAAAAAAGTGGTACAGAATCACATTATGGGCATGACTTCTGAAGGTGAGCCCTCAAGTCACTAAACTCAGATCATTTAAAGATTTCAGCATATGAATTCAGAAGTAAATAGGCATCAGATTTTTGAAAAGTTGATTACTTGTCTTGCCTTCTGTCTACCATTCCTTTTATCATGTGAATAAACTGTCTGTGAAGTACAGTAAGATTCTGATAGCACGTGATTTCTTAGTAACTTGCTCTGTTGCATAGCAAAGATAAGATGAAAGGGGGTTGGAGAAACCGAGCAAAGGCACGCAGTGGTAATGTGCATGTAACTGAATTTTTATCCAGGCACTACATATTGAAATCTGCTGTCTCAATTTAGAAATATGGCCTAGTATTATCTTGAGGAGAAGTGGAATTCAGACACGTCATCTTTCAGTCAGATTGTCTTGAATGAGGCATGTGTTACTGAGCTTGCATTTTCCAGCTAGGTAGTCACGGAGCATGATGCTCTGAGGACATAAGCAAAACCAAAATAAAGACAAAAAAAAAAATCAAAGCCACATGAATAGTGACCTGTCCTATCTTAAGTCATCGCTTCTTGTAAGTCATGTTAACTTCAAGAGAACTTAACATTTATAACCACAACTAACTCCAGATGTGCTTTATTAGGCTGGTCATGGTTAACTTCAAGAATATGCTCATCAGTATATGTGCAGAGTATTGAGGATTGGCTCTCAAGCAACCCTTCCTTTAAAGATGAAAGATACTGTTTGCACTTAGGAAGATATATTTTTTTTTAAAGGGAGGTGTTTTGATCTTATTTTGGTTTCAAGGTAAATACTGAAATGTGCTGTTATTTGTAAAGGTGGACTTTGAAATTACGGTATCGTAAGTGGACTGTCAGTTAATTCTAAAATATTTAGAGCATTAATAAACTGAACTATTAAACTTTAGCTTAGCTCCTCAACAGAGGTCTAGATAACTGGATATTCTTTTTGATTCGTGCATGCTAGTTTGGTTACTGAATGCTCATTCACATGTTATCAGTATGACTGATTTCTCTCAATCTCCCACCCACCTCCTGTCCCCATGAAAGGACCCAGCTTTTGGAGGAAAGCATGAGGGACCATCTTCTCCAATTTCTGGTCAGCCTTGTGGGGAGGACCAAAATGCTTCACCTTCAAAGCTGTCAAAGGAAGAATTGATACAGAGCATGGACCGTGTAGATCGCGAAATTGCGAAAGTTGAACAGCAAATCCTTAAACTGAAGAAAAAGCAAGTAAGCATAGCAGACACTACTGTTGTTATCTGCCAGTGAAAAAGGTGTGGAAAAACTTCATGTGGTGGTGGTGAATTTTTTGGTTACATGAAACAAATGAACAAGTTAAAAAGGGAAGGTTATCTATACGATTTTGCTAGAACGTTTATGTTTTAAACTTTTGTCAGATGTCTAGTGAAACAAGGGCACTGTGACTGTAATTTCAGCTTTAAAGATGACTGGTGGGTGAGGGGAGGCTATCATCTTTCTTGTTTCGCAGTCTGTGCAAGGGGAGAATCTCTTGCATGCATCTCCAAAACCAGAGCTTGTACAAAAGTCCCAGGATCATCATCTTGCACAAGGGCAAGAGATCCTGACATCTGGAGCTAAGGTCAGCCTTGGGGGAAAGTGTGGTAGGAGGAGTGCGAGTAAACAGAGAAAGCAAAGAAATAAGGGAGGAAATACCACTTTTTTTTTTTTTTTGTACGGTCCTGGCTATGCTTTGCATCCGAGAACTGCACTTTAGCCATTGGAAGCAAAGGAAATGTTTGCTGGCAGTAGTTGTTGCATTCCCAGTGGCTGTTGTGGCCAACTAAACCCACCCTTCAATCTAGGCATCTGTTACTCATTGGCAAAAACAAAGTCCTTGTCTCCTTTTCCTTTTATGACTTTCAGAGATTCAGATAGAAAGAGTGCCAGCTTTACGTTTTGGTGGGTTTGGTTTTTTTTGTTTAGTGGGAAGTCTGTAGGAAATGAGAGCTACACTATAGAATCTGTTAACTTGTAGGTCCAGGATGACAAATAGACAACTCCCTGGAGCAGTGTGTTTTTATGGTCTGGAAGCATTTAATTAAGTCTGAATTTTAATGACCTGTAAAGTGACCTTCAGCAGAAAAACAAAAAAAGGATGTCACTAAGTACCTGGCTGTGTGTTAATGATGCTTATCTTTTTGTTTGTTCACTTTTCCACAAAATCAGCAAGCACTATGCATGTTATCTGTGAAGGTTCATTTGTACACGTTTGTACTATGATTTGACTTTAAAAAAAATAAAGTTGCAGTTGCCTGCAATAATTGAGCCTGTTTATTATGGCATTCTGCAAAAATTTTCCATTTTGAATTCTTACACAGCAATGCAGCACGTTCTAGCCAGTACTGTAAGACGGGTTGGATCCCTTGTGTCATAAGTTCTTTGTTGTATGTTTGTGGCGGGCATGGATGGAGGATATTTACAATTAAAAAATGAAGGTGTCACTGAACCAGATTTATTTGATGTGAAAGTACATCACAGCAGTGTAGTAGCTAGGAAAATACTACAGGGGTTTTTGCTGTTGGTTTTTTTGCTTGTTTGTTAATGCAACGATCTTGCAACTTCAGTACATGTGGAGTGGTTTATTTCTGCTGTGAAGTACATTTTGAATGATGTTCTGTGGTGTGTTAGAAGGACTTTTGTACCTTTTTAAACAATAAGTAGTGATAATGACACTTGAATATCTACAATGTAGAAAGGCAGCTCTGTGGATTACTTCCTCTGTGAGAAGACGTGTTTGGTGTAAATGTTCTCCAAAGTTAATATTTTTGTTTAAAGTTAAATAGTGATAAATTACAGTGAGGCAGTAGCTTTTAATGTCAAGCTGAGGCAAGTCTGATTCAATGCAGGTGAGTCTTGTAAACAGTTAATTTGGTTTACCAATAGTACAACAAATAATCTTGTTGTCATCCTTGTTGGCATTAAAACCACTTCATTCATTCCTTGTCAGTTAAAAAGAGAAATAACAGGCAGTGCTAACTGTTGATCAGATGCATATTTTATCTCTGGTGACTAATTACTGGTAAGGGTAACATGGTGCGGATGGCTGATTTTCTTTCTTTCGTCTCTTAGCAACAACTTGAAGAAGAAGCTGCTAAGCCTCCAGAGCCAGAGAGGCCTGTCTCCCCTCCTCCAGTGGAACAGAAACACCGCAGTATTGTCCAAATTATTTATGATGAAAATCGGGTAAGCGTGCTTTTCGGTTGACTGTGAGTCCTGACCCAATATGCTCAGATTCATTAGGTCTTAATTTACTTCCATGGGGCAATTTTTGCTTCTCCTGTTTTATTAACTTGCCCACCCCTTTTTTAATATTCATTTACTTCTTTGAATGGAAGATGCTTGTGTGACATTATTCTTGATGACAGGATCCTTGTTCTATCTTGTGAGCAAGCAGTCTAGGGAAACACATCTATGGGTCTCATCCCTAGACCTTTGTGTTGAGATGGAGATAGATATATATAGAGATATATGTATTTATATAAACACACGTGTGTGAACACACACGCACACGTATATGTGTGTTTGTGTAGATAAATAGATAAATATAGAAAAATGCTTCAGAAATTTATCTTGAATTCTCTTTTCTGCACATAAATACTGACAATCTTGGCTGAAGGCGCAACATTTAGATCAGCTGAAGGGGAAAAACTGCATATGTTGTAAGATTCTGTGCCTTCTTTTTAAGCTCTGACTTCTGGCACTTCAGGTTTGGATAAATGACCAGATAAGAAGTAGTAGTATATAGGTGAATTGTGAGCTTGTGTTGTGTAAGCGGTGAGTAAAGTACAGGAGCTCAGTAATATTGCCAACAGCAGCAAAGTGCTTCCTGCCTTTTTTTTCCCCTGGTAGTTTGAGATTGGGGAGTTGGATATCTGCTCGTTTTGAAAGTATTGTGATCTTTTGTGAGAGTGGTATATGTTTGTTTAATTTCCCAATTTTATTTTGTGGTTTAGAGGAACGGCTGATTTCTATTACAATAGACTATTTTTGAAAATTTGAGGTGATAAAAAAAATGCAACACAATATTAGATTTTTATACTGTAGAACTGTGCCCCAAGTGTTCCATGCAGCCTGTTCTCCCCTTCTCACAGTTGTCTGTGGAATTTGATGTATTTACTTAATACAGAACATTAGGACAATTGATGTAACCAATGTACAGCAATATGTTTACTTATGGTTACAAACCAGTTTTACTGTTTTAAATCTCTTTCACACTATAATGTAATTAAAAGTTATTAAAAGTGTAAAACCACCTTAAAGACTTCCTCAGGCTGAGTTGCATGTTGAGTAGTAGGCAAAACTGTGTAAATTTGAAGACATCTTAGTGGGCTGCTGTGCAACTCTTTCTCTGTTAACTCTGGTTGCAGGTGGAGTTTACAACAGAATTTTGAACTTGCTGTTGCATTCCCCATATTGCTTATGTGCCGGTAGATGGGGAAACCCATTTTTATGTTGCTTGAGGTAGAGTGACGTGTCAGTATATCGTCATCTATTAGCTGCTTCTTGTCTGCATAGCTATTTGTATAGTGTTCTATATACAAGGGGAGTTACCAAGCTCGATGCATTTGTGAACCCATTTAGCACTTGGTTTGAGTTCTCATATCAGGAATTACACGCACTGTAGAATGGCAGTATTGATGGGGCTTAACACAAATAGCATGTGTCAGTACTCACTGTTATTGAGAAGGTTATTAAAGATGTCTTAAGCCATTTGTGTACATAGCCCTTGTTTGGTATCTTTTCTTCTGCCATTGTACAGGAGGACAGTCCCCTTGGCAGCTTCCATCTTCAAACCATGCAGTTTAGGATAATTACTTTTAATATTCAACTACTGTTGGCTAAAATTTGCGTAAAGTAATAGGACTAGAGTTTGATTTTTAAATGTTTTGAGATGAGAAAAAACATTCTGCCAGGGTAATACTATAATATTTCCTTGATAAATAATTATTTTATACAGCTGTGAGTTCCAAAGAACTTCTCAAGATTGAAATTACATGGAAAGATGGTAGAACTTAGCAGAACACTTCCTAATAATAACAACTGCTTTATGGAATAGTTTCCCTATATTTTTGTTTGCAGAAGTTTTAGGGCTAGCACACAAAACTATTGTGGGGAAAGAAGCAAATTTGAACTAATATGTTGGGTCATTTCAGATAGCCTTGTCTGCGGGCAAAGGCCTTTAGAAGACCGTAGAGGCTTGAAATGAATTTGTGAAAGCCAACTGCACTATCCAGTGCTGCGTCCTTTAGGGTCAGAATTATTTTGGGGTCTTTGCCCAGTGTGAGGCAAGGAGGACCTTTGACATGTTTCTGTGTATGTACACATTGATTCACACTCACAGACTTGGCAGCTGGAGAATTTTAGTCTCTCAATTCCATTTTTGAAAGCTGGCTATACTTTGTTTTACTGGACACCTTTCTTTCTCTTAATGATTATTTACTGTATTATTTATTAAATGCGTATTGGTTTTGAACTGCGGAGATCAGTTTCTGCTTTTATGCTCTATCAGTTTCCAGACGTGGAGATGAGAGCAGTAACTGCACAATTCAAGTACAGGTTTCGTAATTTGCTGAGGCAGCATTGCAGCAGCAGGTTAAGAAGGATATAATATGGTCAGACAGGGGTTTAGCAGCTACCATAAGTGAAAGACTTCAGATATGCTTTTGACAGTGACTATAATTTACTTAAACTATGTAAAAAAAAAAAACCCACAAAAACAAACAAACAAAAAAAACAAAACAAAAAAAAACAACCAACAAACAACCCCTTATTTGCAGAAAAAAGCAGAAGAAGCTCACAAGATTTTTGAAGGTCTTGGTCCAAAAGTTGAACTGGTAAGTTGTTGGTTTTGGTTTGGTTTTGTTCTATTTTGTGTGTTGCCAGTTGCTGTAATTCTTTTGTGGTAAGAAGATGTAGTTACATGTTTATGTGTAAAAGAAGTGTGTGTTTAAATGCGCTGGTGAATTGGGGCTTGAGAGAACTGATTGGCCGCATAAGTGTAATTTTTATAATAGATTCAAATCATTTGAGAGAACCGTTTGAAATACAAAATAAAAACAAAACACAACTGTTGTATATGTAAGTAGTTATAATGGAATCTGTGCTTTGTGTTGAATATCTTCTAGTCCATTCAGATTGCTGCACCTCAGATTGAGTGCACTGTTGGCAGAATACTAAAATATTGTTAAATCTATTGCATATACTTTTAGAGTTACGTGCATTGAAAAGTACTAAGTGTACATTTCTAACCCAAAATTGTAGCCACTTTACAACCAGCCGTCAGACACAAAGGTCTACCATGAAAACATCAAAACGTAAGTGCTTTAATGTCTTGTCATTGTGACATTTAAGGGATCTAGACTTAAATGTTCACTGAAATTTTTCATTGCTGTGATTTCCAAATAGATTGTGTGTACTTTAACCATAATTAAAAGCTTCCAGTCCACATAACTTTCCAATTTATATGTCATAAAGTAGTGCTGCAAGACATGAGTTATATGTACTGAAGGCAGAGGGAAATCGTAACTTTTCATCTTAAAGACAAAAATAAGTCACAAAAGTTGTTAACACTTGTGGTTTTCAGTCTAAAATACCAGGTGTGTCTAGTCAGCTTTTCCTGAATGTACTGTTCAAAGGAGGGTTTCAAAAGTTACTGCTGGCAATAGACCGTAGGAGTTGTGATCCTGATAGTAGTAGTAGTAGTAGTATTAATAATAATATCATCATCGTCTTGTTTATTGGCTTGACCATGTATGCATTTCCTGTCATGGACTATGAGCAAAGTTACTGTGTGCTACACTTACTTGTTATTTAGGGCCAACCAAATTCAATGATTTGAAATAAACTGGTTACCTTCTCCTGGAAGAAACATGGGTTTTGAGGAAAATAATTTTTTGTTTCTTTTTTAATATGTTATATAACTTGTTTCTCAAATTTGTATGGGCTCTGATTATTTTTTTTTTTAGTTCACTGAAGCAACTATTGTTTATAAATTGAAATAAAATTTTAATAGATTAATTTTAAAATGTTTTTTATTAAGCTTATCTGTATTCAGATTTAAATGTCCATAAGAGACCTCCATGGTGCTTTTTTGTTGCATCTGATTACTTTGAATGTCTTTGGTTCTCAAAGATGATGGTAAACTCATTTCTCTCCAGAAAGTCATCATAATGTAGAACAAAATCTTAGTTTCTACCTACCTATGTCAAACCAGTATTGATTTCCCTCTGTAACAGTGTTACAAAATACCAAAATAGTGATCACTCCGTTGCAACAAGAATCAACTTATTTTGAAAATATGTGTTGCTACTAGTCTATGGTGAAAATAATTGCTTACTTTCATGTCTCACTTTGAAACTCGACTATGGGTCTTTTTGAGACAAACTTCACTGCTGTGACATAATTATCCTGGTTCAAATTTGTTGAAGGACATTACTCTCTTCATAAGATCTGTTTATTCATAACCAATTTCTGTACTAGCAGTTTTTGCAACAGACAAAATAAATTGTTTGTTTCAGATGTGAAGAAATTAATAGTGAGTTACTCATGTGTTGCCAAGTGCTATAACTTTTACAGTATTTCGTAGGTGCAGAAAAAATGTTACAGAGGGCTGTCCTTTAAAACCTTCTCTTAAAAGAAAAAAATAATTCTTGCACCACTCCTTCAAATGTATCTGTGCAGCAGTTCCAAAATACTTATTTTTGAGTAATATATTGTAAAACTCTTAACATTAGAGTCTAATGACAAATATTATTTTTTATCCCCCCAGGGCATAATATCTTAAGGCAAATTTACTCATTTTAGCCTATTATTTCTCTTGTGGCGAAGGAGAGCACCTAGCTTGAATTGGAAGTTTTTGTGTTTCTCAGCTGCTTATTCCAGCCATCTTCAAGAGTCTTCCCTCTGATAAAACGCAGTATTAGTTACATGATTGTTTCATCAGGAGTTTTCCCTCTGTTTTCTACCCCTGAAAATATTTTCCGTAATCATGATCGCTTCTAGAATCCATATGGGCTTTGTTAGTGGTTTTGAAGTGCTTGATTCTTATGTAGTTTACTGTTTTCTTCCCTAATTTTGTTTTCCAGAAACCAGGTGATGAGGAAAAAGCTAATACTATTCTTCAAAAGAAGAAATCATGCAAGAAAACAACGGGTAATCGTACCATATTTTTGTAAAAAGAGCACATGGTTGTTTTTCTGTCTAGATCCTTGACTTGTATTCCCAAATGTATCACGTAAATCCTGTTGATTAGAAAAATAAGATCTTAAACTAAAATTCTGTTGGTTTATTGGAAAATAAACTGCAGGTTTGTAACTGTGGTTTCTTGCTTATGTGACTGAAAACCATCTAAAGTACAATAAGGAAAAAGCTTTTTTTCTTTATTTTTGTTTTCTTAAAGAGTATGAATGGAAGAGACCCAGTGAAAATCTTTATGATCATGCCTGGCCTCTCTCTGAGCTTCTTTTTTTGTGTAGTGACTATACTATCTGAAAGAAAATGGGGCAGATCTCTGATTTTTGAAGTCCGACAGGATTGTTAATCAAAATTCTGTATGTTGGATACCAGTATTAATTGACTTAATGCTTTCTCTTGCATGCTGTTGTAACAAGTGGCATAAAAAGTCAAAAGACTCTTTTGGGTGGTGTCTGAAAGATCATTTTTATTATTAAGAACAGCAGAAGGTTATACATCAAATTGGAAGATTCCACCATGAAAATGTAATGAAGCATTTCTCTTCTTACAGTCCTAGGGTTGTTTTTTTTATGTAGGAGCAGCTCCCTACATATTGCTGAGATTGAGGACATAGTGCAATTATTCCAGCCCCACTCTGTTAATTAAAAATCTGAAATAAAATAAAAAGTCAAGAATTAAATCAGTTCTGCCAATTAAAAGATGATGTGAGATTTCTGGAAGCCAGTGATAATAGTTACCAAATACTGTTGTGATGTGTAAAGCAAAGAAAACAGTGTGTAATATTAAAAATCTGCACTTTTTTTTTTATATCCACTCCCTCACCTTCTCTCTGCTGAAAATTTGGTATATGTTGTCTTCAAAATGGAAGCCACTAGAGCAGGAAAAATATGTCTGTTCATTCTGGGAGCCTACCCATGTTATGCATACTGCTCACCTAGTGTGGTTTTGTTTAGTCCAAGGTTTACTTTTGGAATTTTACAGGAACAGAAAATCTGTCAACGTTACGATCAGCTGATGGAGGCATGGGAGAAAAAGGTTGACAGGATAGAAAATAATCCGCGCAGGAAAGCGAAGGAGAGCAAAACAAGAGAGTACTATGAAAAACAATTTCCAGAAATCCGGAAGCAAAGAGAACAGCAAGAACGATTCCAAAGGTATTACTGTGGATTTGAAATATTCCAACAAAATACCTCTTAGGACTTCAGTTTTAAAATTATTTGTAATAAAATTGGTTCAGCTTAATGGTTAAGTTTTATGTTCATCACTTTGTTCCTTAAAAAAGAATATTAGCGTATCGTACAGTGTAAAGTAAAATGTTCTTTCATTGTTCACTATGTTCAGTTGAGCTCAGTTTCACTTCACATCCTAAGGATCTTCATGACTGTCCTTCTTGTATATCCACTGTCTTGTGTCTTGCCCATTCCTGTCCCTCCCTATCAGCTTTGTCAGCAGCGCTGGCCTCCTCAGTTTGGTGTCCTCTTGGCCTCTTCAGTGGTGTCCAAATTGTTCCTTTCCTATTGCCCTTTTTTAGATCTGCCATCTAAACCCATACTTACCAAAAGAAATACAGAAAAAGGGCTAATTAGCAAAGGCTAGTTAGGATGTGGCGCTCGATGAGAATATATGAATTAAGCTCAAATGCACAGAGACTTGTGGAATTTGTCTCAAGATAATTGGAGCATCAGCTTCAAGCGAACCTGCTCATTTTGGGCCTACACCCTAATTTATGCTTAGTGTTTTTCTGTCACTGGGTATCTGTGTAACTCCTGTGTTTCATGATCCCTATTTTCATTAGCCTACGCACTCAAAAATCATTTGACTTCTTTAATTAACAATTTGAGTGATCTTTTGTTCTACTTTCCATGTAATTTTATTCCAGACATTTTTGCTTTTTGAAGTAGGCAAGCTATGGCAATTAAGTCCCTATTATTTAATTTTGATCTATCAGGCATCTGTTAAATGGAAACTGTCTTAAAAGGAATGAAGTGCAATTCATTTCAGAGTTCACTTTATCTACAGTACTGTGGACAGTGCTTTAAATTAGAATTGGGTCAAGTTTGATTCAGTTGTGTTGAAATCTGTTTATCTAATGTTTGAAATCACTTTAATACCCCTTTGAGAGTTCAAGCCCCGTAAAGATTTCATCTTTTTATCTCTTCTAACCATCACCCTAAATCACCTTACTTCATAAAACATAGGAAAAGCAGATAGTTTGCAATATATTCTGGAATCAAGAAAAGAGGAAGAGAAAGTTAACTGTTAGGATGAGAACAGCACTCCTATCTATAAGAAGTGTTTACTTTAAGGGTGTATCACATCTTTGTAACTGCAAACTGCTTGGGAAGGGGCCACCTCTATACATTATATTTATGTTCTCTAATGTAATAGCATCTTTGTCTGTAGCTGTGCTTGTAATACTGTTGCCTTGTAATAAGTGTTTTTGTCAGATTTTGTGCAAATGGATTAGTTCAGTAAAATCTTTGAGCAAATGAAGATGTTTTGTTTCTAATTATAAGTGATTTTTATCTCTGAAATTGCTTTTTGACCCACACGCTGTAACATTTTATGACAATGTTCTAACTGTGGAGATCACTAGCTGAAGAATTCTTCCAAATTACAGCTCTCCCCACCAATTCAAAAGTTGAAAATTTTCCTTTGTTGTAATGAGTCTGTGCTGTATTAGTAACTTGACCAAATTGATGAAAGGCAAATTTAGTGTGCTTTTTTCTTTTAAAAATAAAAAAATAATCTGTTTTTCAGAGTGTGTCAGTTGTACTAAGATGATTTCTGTGCAGCTGATGAACATTTCTCATACATGAATATGCTTCTGCTGAGTATCTAAAACACCTACTTGCAATGGAATCAGTAGTAACACTTCTTTTTTGATGTTGACTCAAGTCATGCTCTTCTTGCTGAGCTTTGCAAATTCACAAGTAAAACTGAGCAGTTGTTCCAAATTGCAGTACATGAACAGAGTTTGTACTCTGAGTCTACTTAAGAAAGAACAGTTCTAACTGTTTGGGAGACAGTTTTTTAAGGAATTTCGAAGGTTGTCATTGTTAACGTACAAAATCTGAAAATATAGCTATTTTCCATTTTATCCTTACTACTTCTGTCTTCCCCTAATTCTAGAGTTGGTCAAAGAGGGGCTGGACTTTCAGCAACTATTGCTAGAAGTGAACATGAGATTTCTGAAATCATTGATGGACTCTCTGAGCAGGAGGTGAGCTTATTGTCTGTATTTTGCTATAGAAGCACAGCAAATGACTCAATAGCATTTTATTGGCAGTGAAAGGTCTCTTTCAGAGGGTTTTGGTTTTTTGCTAAGAGAAACCTTCTTGGGCTGGTTTGAGAGAATCTATGTGAAGTTTGGCTTGAAATAGGTCTTACAAAATGCTTTTCTTTTAAGGGTTATGCTTCCTAATTGTGTATGTCCCAGATTTTTCTCAGGTGTCTGTATTCATTGCAGGCTTGCTACAACCTAGTTTTTCATAGCTCTAACACACACATGAAAACTCCTCCTTTCAAAACTCCTGCACCATTTTAATTTTTCATTATTTGCAACACTGTTTCCTTTAGTTGGCTGTGTAAATGTTCATTGGGATAATGACAACTTCTAGAAGATTTAAGAAGTGGGCAAAAAGAAGTTTCAAACTGTGAATGTATACTGTGGTGGAACTTTAAAGAGTTGTGTAATTCGAGAACTCTAAACAGTAGCAACTTTTTGAATTCTTTGCTTTTTCTTTTTATTCTTTGCCTGTAGAATAATGAAAAACAAATGCGTCAGCTCTCTGTCATTCCTCCCATGATGTTTGATGCAGAACAAAGACGAGTGAAGTTTATTAATATGAATGGTCTGATGGAGGATCCCATGAAAGTTTATAAAGACAGACAGTTCATGAATGTCTGGACCGACCATGAGAAAGAGATATTTAAGGAAAAGTAATGGGCTTTTCTTATCTTCTATTTTTATTACATTGCAAATGACAGTTAAATACCTAACCCCACAGTAAACATCAGTTAAATCGGGAATGCTGAAGCTTTTGTGCCATAATACTTGGTTATGTTCTTAGCTGGTTGAATGAAGAGAGTTTTAGTGCAAAAGTTTTAGCCTTCTCGACTTGTTTTTCAACTGAGTAGGATCACATACATTTAGTCCTTAGGTAAGAAATTATCTCAGAAGTACTTTAGTTCCATGATAAGATTAAAATGAGAAGAGTAGGTATATTATGTCATTATATCAGCTAACAGCTAATTTTAAGTGCTTAGTTCTAAATTTGCACAATTTGAAAACTAGGCTTTTTAGACTAATTTCTAAGCAGGCTTGCTGATGGAACAGGTTGTTTGGAAGACTGCTGTGCTTATTTGGTCATGAATTATGTTGTTAAACTTAAATAATTTCTGATTTATAAAAGGTTTGTCCAACATCCCAAGAACTTTGGTCTAATTGCTTCCTACCTGGAACGAAAGGTAAGACCTTTTTTAATGTAAGTAGAGCCTAGGGTGGGATCGCTAACTTTCCAAATGTAAGTCATTTATCCCAGCATTGTTTTCTCTTCCTGGAAAAAAATTTAAGTCCAAAAAATGTTACTGCTTTGACACGATTTTATAATACTTGATCAGTAACACAGTCGTTGCGTGCAAGCAACTAACAGAAGTTAGTGAAATGACACCATTGACAACAATAAAAGGAAATATAGCACTTCATTTAGTTTTGGTCTTTTGAAGCAGGTAAGCTTCTGTATCTCACTGCTTAGGTAAGGACGTAATTCGCTCTGCTGTCCTAACTCTCAGGAATCTTGCCACTACCTTTCAATCAGTGGGATCCTCCTGCTAGCTGAATTAGTCTTCAGAACTGATTTTGCAGAACTGATAGGAGAAGTAATGGAGAATTAAGATTTGTTAAGGCTTCCAACAGAATCTTGAATACATACAGCTCTTACGATAAACAGAAGCTTTCAAACTTGCGAATCAGCTAGTAGAGATTAAATCATGCAGACTGAAGTAGCTGAGGGGTATTATAAATACGTGAGACTTGCGTTTAACACTATAATTTTATGCGTAGTTATATTGTTATATTTGTGTGCTCAGCAGGGAAGTGAATTCAAATAAATCTAATAGAGTTTTATTTTAGTCTAGGGGCTGAATAGTTTAAGTGTTGAGAAAAATTAAATACTAAAAATGTACGTTTTATAGGAGTAAAACCTGGTTTTTTTCTTTTTCACTTTAGAATGTTCCCGACTGTGTATTATATTATTATTTGACCAAGAAAAATGAAAATTATAAAGCCCTTGTGCGAAGGAATTATGGTAAACGCAGAGGAAGAAACCAGGTATCTTAAATTTATTCATCACTTGGGTATTGTTATTTTATTGTTATATTTACAATTGTCTTACTGTCTGATACAGCAAGTGTATTATATGTGGGGGGGCGATGATGATAATTATTTTTCCCTTACTGCATATTTGCCCTTTTTAAATTTAAGTAATCCTGACCTCAAGGACGTTCTTGGTTAGTTTGTTTATAATTCTGTGGAGTACCTTCTTCCTTTGCACATTTGTGATTTTTTTTTTTTTGACTATAACAATTCATTTTATTTGAGGACTCTGCCACTGACATTGAAGTTGAATCCATCGTTAAATCCTGTATTGGAGCCAACAGAAATTAGGTTTAGCATGTGACTTGCAGTGGAAAATAATATAATTACTTCATAATGTCAGTGTTTGTCAAAAAGCAGAAATTAATAGTGGTCTTTATTTGGTGGTCAGGCTGAAAGTCAAACGAACTTCATAGCAAGAAGAGAGACCAGTTGAATGCATGCAGACAAAAAATTCTGCTGATTCAGGAATTATTGTTTTGAAGTCTTTGGAGGGGGAAAAACCCAACATATTATGTACAAGTAGTATATAAATATGTTTGCTAAGCTACCAGGGTTAATGTTGATACTGGAAAAAAACAAACAAAAATATGAAGAAACTTTATTGCTGCTTCTTGTATATTCACTGAGCGTGTTCCTTGCTCTTCCCATTCTGATTTCCCCTTGCATCTCTTGGGTATTTAGGAAGTCCTGAAAATAGAATGAAAGATAATGTCAGTGATGAGGTTAGGAAAGAAGGTCATATATGAAATAAAGTACATGAATGGAGTACTAGATATAACAACAAAGCCTGCAGGTATTTTGAGTTTGCATCTCTAAAATGAATTTAACAGCTGGAAACCAGTATAGATAATGTTGTGGTGAAGAAATACCCAGTGCTGTGTTCAAACTGGAGCTTGATGGAGGTGGGAAGGGAGATTCCTTTCAAATTCAGGGTTTTAGAAATCCACAGACATAAAATCTGAGTTGTCGGTTATTGGATTTGGTCATATCTCAGAAGGGAGATTCCTTTCAAATTCAGGGGTTTAGAAATCCACAGACATAAAATCTGAGGAGTTGTCGGTTATTGGATTTGGTCATATCTCAGCAGCGATACTAAAGAGAAAATCGTTGAGACTTTGAGGTATTGTGACTGTACTGAGTTGCAAACCAGCAAATTAAGAAAATGTTAGGCTTCAGGGTATGTGAATCCTTTTTTCAAATAATTTAAGTTTTCTGGAAGTCCCAGTAAATGTATTTTTTTATATAAAAGAAAATTGCTGTAAACAGCTTCAGCTGATAAGTTGATCCTGTTCGCTAGAAACAGTCATTGTGTTGTGCTTCGATGGTGCTGTTGTACTTAAACCTTTTAAATTACGGTCTGGTGTTCTAAGAGAAGAGATCATATCACAAGAGACTTACTTGTCTCTACCCCACGAATTGTGGATTGCTTGGGGTAAGGTCATTTTCATTATGCACAGGATTTAGTTAGAGCTTCTACTCTGACTAATTGTGAACTGCTGTGATGGGAGAAAATACTGGAAATAACCAGTATTTTGCCAGAACTTTTGTAGACTTTCTAAGCCTAATAACGCTTTTTAATAGGAAAAGTGAATTGTTGTGTGATGGTGAAAGACTGATTAAAGTATGGATGTACGGCAGAAACAAAGAAGATGGAAATAACAAGATTGTCCAAAATGTAGACAATAGCTGTGGACACTAAATGCGGATAATGCTGCCATTTTAAGTGGCCCAGTTTCATATTCCATTATAAAATCAGATTGGTGTGATCATATTAAGTATACACATGTTGAGCAGTATCTTTGCCATATACTGTTCTTCTGCAACTGCTCTAAGAGGTGAGGAGACAGAACTAGCTCAAACTGTAACGCAATGTAACTGTAAGTTTTGAGATACTCAGAACACAACTGTATATTGAAATGTCTTTCAACATTGTTAAACTTTATAATATTGGAACTGGTAGAATTCAAAATATGAGGGTATTTCTCAATCCATAAATTCTTTGATTTCCTTGGATAATGCATATAAATTAGAAAGATTTCAATTACAGCCCTGTACACAAGGGCATAGATTTGTGAACTTAGCTCGCTATAAAAGGAAACCCAAGGTGCTTTGCCTCACTTTGTAACTGCTCCCGTGAATACTGATTTATATGTGAATAACTAAGTATGTGGGTTGGAACACAGAAGCTGCTGTCGTTGTTTGTTCAACTCAAATTACTTGCTCTTTGAATTTCAGCAGAGTTGTAGGTCTTACTTGCTAGTTGTTGATCCATGTTAAGTACTACAGCAGATCACTAAACTTCAGGCAACTGCTAGACAGGCTGGTAGGGATGCAGACAAGTGTCAGACTTTATAGGTCTGAAGAATGTTGAGGTATACTTGTAAACTCAAGGAAATGCTCTAAACATTCTAAATGGGAAATTTTACCAGTTCTGGAAGTTTATGAATTCAGAAATGTTGTACTTAGCATGTTTAGTAACGCTGTAGTAAGGAATTATATGTACCAAAAATCATATTTGTATTTCTTAATTTTATTAATGGCTAATTAGCAATCTATAACAGCTAGTAAAAAAGAACTTGAGAGTGTTGAACTGCCCTGCTTGCCAGAACTTTTATCTTACCGTTGCAGAAGGTAATCTATCCCCCTTCTCCCTCCCACACCCCAGCTTTGTTTGAAGCTGATATTTTTCATATCTCTGAGTAGCAACCCGAAACTTCCTTGCTGATTGGCAAACACAAGTCGTGTAAGATTTATGATGTGCTCAAGATGTCCTTATGCCGATAACAGGTGCTTCAGCTTAAACTCTTAATAGTTCATATATTTTTGTAAATTAGAAGGCAAGCAAGTGGAATATTGCAGTGGAGAAGATATTAATCATGGTAATGATGTTGAAATCCTTCAGAGAATGCAGTGACTACAGTTTGACTCAAGTTTCAGTGTGGGGGTTTTGCTTTAGAGAAGCTAAATGCTAGATGGAGGCATGTCAAGTTAAGAGACGTAAGGCTTACTAACTTCTGTTACGTTTTTGTCCTCAAATAGGTCTAGAAGGGACTAAAATGCCAACTAAACCGTTCCAGAATGCTCACAGAAGCAACTAAACAAGTGCATCTGAAACCAAATGTGATTTTTTTCAAATGAAAAGCGAGTTAACAACATAGTATTGGAAGAAAGCCTGGCTGTACAGCGCTTTCGCATTGATTCTAGAGAATTCCTTCAATAACTCGTTGAAAGGAGGTTCCCTCTGAGTGAAGTTTTTCACTGAAATTGGGTAGCAGAGGGCAGTGCGTAAGGGGTGTGTTTGTGTGGCCTGGCTGCCTGGTCAGCAGAAGCGCGTCGAGCCGTGTGCCTTTGCGGCAGGTGGTACAGTCCGGTGACCTGACTAGACAGAAATTTGCTGCATGTCTGTGACGGCCAATCAAGCCGAGCTCGCAGGGGATTACCTCTGGTGACTCCGGTGAGATTAGAAGGTTGTATGTGAGATGGGCAACTCTGCTGTAGGCAGCTTAAGTGGCAGAATGACTCAATTTCCTGGAATAAACACGTTGCTGGGTCAGGCAGCCTCTGCTAGAGCTGTGTGATGTCGGTGCTGGTGCGGGGTTTGTCCTTTTGAATCGTGCCCTGAGCTAAAGCCCGTCCCCTTGCCTGGATAGTAAAAGTTTTAATCAACAGATGAATGTGCAGGTACGTCGCTGACCGAGGCTTCAACTGTTTTAAGGTTTGTGTTTAACCTGCACTTGACCTATTGATTATGCATGTTAAATAAATTCACTGCGAAATAGAGAAGCTTGTTATTTACAAAGTGTGATGTTAAATTAGCCAGGCAAAAAGAACAGAGGATTTTCAGCAACTGTTTTGTAAATAGATTATATGTAAAATACAGTGGGTTTGTTTTTTTTTTTTTTTCCCTTCTGAAAATGCAGCTTTAACTTTTGAGGCCAATCTATCTAGCACGATGGAAATAATTTATCTTAGCACACCTCTGACATCTTGCTTGAAGGAAGTTTTTGCATAACCAAGTAATGCCAGCATCTTAAATGCTAATAATTTGCAGCAAGATGATAGTGGTTAGTGTTTGGGTTTTCTGCTCCAGTTCACATTATTAAAATGTCAAAAACAAGTCCTTTTTGTGACTATTTCCAGCCTCAGTTTTGTTAGTGAAACAGTGACACCTGCTGCTACACTTACAGGAAAGTTGGTTCTTTTGTGAAAAGGAAAGCCTGTTTTGAGGAATTTTCAGTGGACTGTGAAATGTGAGTTAATGGAGTCCTAGAACAGCAGTCTTGTAGTTCTCTGTCCTTCCCACCCAGTGTACTTTGGATGTTTGAAAGGTAGCTTTATATAAATGTTACATGTTTTTTGCTTTTTGAAGTTGGCTTGCAGAGTCTGATGTCCAGTAAGGAACAGGTTGGTTCTGCACACACCAGATTTGAGTGAGAGTGTCTGGGTATTGCAGTTCTGAGTGGGTGACTCTGACAGAGGTGGTTTGTTTAACCCATTCAAGCCCCTTCATTGTAAACTGCTGTGAATGGTTCCCTCTGTGTGGCCATATCTGACTCCCCACCCTCTCTTACATTCCGTAGTTTCTTATGAAAACATATTTAAGGCAGAATTTAAACTCTATTCATGCATTTTAAATAAACATACATATTTTCAGAGAGGAGGAAGAGAGCACTTTCTTCCTCCTTCCCCTCCCCTCGCCTTTAACGGGAGTCCTGCCTCTATAACCTCGCCTGCAGCCTCAGGCTTTCTTGGCTCATTCTTGCTGTGTGGTGCCTAGTACAGGAGGTTTGGATTTTCCTGCGGCACTCACAAGATCACCTTGTTACAGACACTGTTCGGTGTGGATGGGCACTATGGATTAAGCTCTAGATGCTTGATGTGGGTTGCTGGCTTTTGAGATCCCTCAGGAGAATTCATGCATTTGCTGTTTGCTTGATGTAAGGGTTCTGGGAATTTGGAGAGTGGGTTACATGCTTCATTTAGTGGCAGCCAACTACTGCTTGGTGTTTTAGCCTGGAGAGGAAGGAACTTGCAGGTGAGCTATGGATGTAGAAATGCAGCCGTGTTGGAAAACGAGTCTTTTTGGCTGTGGGCAGATACATCACTGTGGATGGCAAAAAGCAATATTTGGGCTCCTAAATATATTTAGGGAGGATAACTTAAGGAAATATTTTCTGTAGACGCATTTGATAGATCTTTCCTGATACTTCTTTCTTTCTTTTTTTTTTCTCCTGTATGAGCAATGTCATTTTTCTAAGGCTTTCTTAAAACATCACAGGGTATTTGACTTGAGTAATGTTAGGCCACCTCTAACAGTGAAGTCAGACAGGGAATGCCAAGGCTATTTTTAATCCCATCCACCCCACTCCCCCCCCAAAAATAAGGAATAGTAAAAAATATACCACAAATTTTTCTTACCTTTTTTAGGGTTTGGGGTTTGTTTTTGTTTTTTAAGCATCTATAGAGGACCATGCTGGTAATTCTATGTGATCACATTAAGTAACAGAAATTTCTTCCATTAATTCCTGTTTGAAGCAGATTGTATCTCCCGGAAAGTTTAAATCAAATTTATGTGCTCTCTAGAATGAGATACCCTTGCACATGGTAGTCATCTGAATTGCTTTGGAAGATAAGGAGCAGAAGTCCCTTAACAGGGAATGCATAAATAGTATTTTGTGCTGTTTTCCTTAGGGTAATAACGAGTGATGATAATTACTTTGTCATTTGGCAATGCTTAAGGTGCTTGTAAAACTATCATCTCAATAAAGACTATAGTTTTAAAAAAAAAATTCTAGGTTATAATTTTCCTTTTGTAAATTCACTGGAAATGTAAGTCTAAAATTCCTGACCCATTTTTTTTAACAATGAAGTTTCTTAATTACTCATGACAGTTCTGAGAAGGTAACTTAGAGTTGGTCATAATCTTCCATGCTGCAACATCTGCTTCCACATTGTAAGCTATCATGTTTCACTATTTTAAAATGGACAACATTAGAAATAAAATTTGAGAGGAGCAACACCATTACTATGCAAGATGCTGGTCAGACCTTTCTAAGCACTTTTAAAACTTAGCCATTCATTTACAGTGTGGCGTACAGCAGCACATGTATTTCTTGACACACGTACCTACGTGCTCGTTATCACTTCTGTGCTTACACTGCAAAAGAAGCCTGGACCTCCATGGAATTTATAAGACAAAATACCACACCTGAATGGGGCAGCTAACCAGAAGAAACTTAAGAGAAAATAAGTTGAGAGGGACTGAGGATATACAGCTAATGCAGAGAAACTGCATGTTCTGTGGCAAAAGGGACTTCTGAAGTCTGGGAGGTAACTAATGCCTGGAACATCCTGTTCATTAGGATTTCAGGGTGCAGATAGGTGTTCTGGTTTTTGGCAGAGGCGTTTCGCTGTTGACTGGTGTGCGGTGACTGTAACTTAACATATTATCAAGTGGGAGGTAAGGCAGGATCAGTGTGCTGCTCTGAGTACAACTTGCTGCATCTTTGTGTGATCAAGCTGTTATAATATGTAAACCTCGTTTCATTTCAGCAACAAATTGCTCGTCCTTCTCAAGAAGAAAAGGTAGAAGAAAAAGTAGAAGAGGAAAAAGCAGAAAAAGCAGAGAAAAAAGAGGAGGAAAAGAAAGATGAGGAGGAAAAGGATGAGAAGGAGGAATCTAAGTAAGTATATGTACTGAAAATGCATTAATTCACCCTGGATTGCAGTTTTTTTGCAAAGTTCAGAGTAGGATTCTCATTAGCCTGACTGGAATCTGGACTGAAAACTGTTCATATTTAGGTCAGGTTTTGTGCATTAAACAATTTTTTGGACATATGAGTTTCTCTGTCTTGCTGACCTAGTCAGACTGGTGGAAAAAGCCATGGGATTATTTTTTTTGCACATTTTTGTATCTTACTGGTTTGGAGGTTTTTTTCGTATGTTCTGTCACAGTGTTTGTGTTTTCTTTGAAGTTGATGATATCACATATCTGTGTTATTTTCTAGCAACTCTAAATTGTAGGCAGTAAGTGAATTCTGTTTCGCTAAAGGTGTCTTTTGGGTTTGTGGAGTTTTGTTTGTGGTTTGGGTTTTTTACATTGATATTCAGGAATAGTTACCCATAATGGCTATCTGAATGTGACTGAATTCTGTTTTAACTACTCCCAGAGAAAATACCAAAGAAAAGGACAAAACTGAAGTTGCACCAGAGGAAACGGAGGAGAGGGAGCAGGCCACTCCTAGGGGCCGAAAAACTGCCAATAGTCAAGGTCGTCGTAAGGGCAGAATCACCAGATCAATGACAAATGAAGCTGCACAAGCAAATGCTGCTGCAGCTGCAGCCACTGAAGAACCGCCACCGCCTCTTCCACCCCCACCAGAACCTTGTGAGTAGCGTTTATAGGACACTTGGGGACCCATCTGGTTGTCAGGCTTTTCACTAACACAAGGCTGTTTTCTGTGCATGCAATGCACTTTTTTTTTTTTCCCCCTGTTTAGTGTTACATCTTTATTCTTAGGCCTGCTTTTCATTTTGTGACCGTGGTACTGTTAAACTTCACGAGTCTAACTTCATGAATAGTATATGTGTAATCAGATGACTCTGTTAGAACCGTGTGAGGAAAAGAAAGGCAGTTCAGCCTTTCTGCGATGACTACATTTTCTCTCTTTGTAGGGTTAATGATGGATCTGTAGAGATCCAAATGCCTTTGACACAGATTGACTTACAGGCTGTAGCTCACAGAGGTTATTGTTAAATAAGCAGGCCTGATATTTGAGTACTTCAGAGAGTTTCGTAATCTGAAATAGATCCTAGCAAGTTGTTTCTGTTGTTGTTTCTGCAGTATATGGCAAGAGACTTCTTTTAAAATAAAATGTTACTTTCTTGGCATGTATGGTTAAAAAAGACTATGCTATCTCTGACTGCATTTCTGAAAAGGCTGACATAATTTGTTGTGGTGCAGAAATACTAGCAGACAGACTACCTTGTGGCTAGTAAATAATTATCTAGGATGGCGGGGCAGGGTTTGTTTTGTTGTTTTTTTTTTTTTCTTGCTGTGCTGTGGCAAAGTTTAATGCTCCTAGCTCAACTGGGTACTTACAGGCAGCTGCTATTCTAGAATTTGTAACAACTCTTTTGTTGCTCGGATATTCTGCATATCCTAAAGAACATAGTAAGTGGGAAAATTAGTTCTCGTTTAACTGTAAACGTAAGAGTTGTGATAGACATTCTTGCTCAGTTGGTACGGTGGGGTTTTGTCAGCTAGACTAAGGCAATAGTGATTTTTTGCGCTCGCTCTCTTTTTTTTTTTTTTTTTTTTTTTTAGCCTATTTTTTGCAGGGTCTTCTGGAAAATCCAAAATAGCTTTTCTGTGGATCGCATACTTTATAGTGTCCTACTTCTATTGTTTGTTGATGGAAGTTGTTGAAGGGTCCCTGTTGCATGCTGTGCATAATGGCAGATTTTATGAAAAGGAAATGGAGGCTGTTGCAGCTTAATGCTCTTCAGAAATTTAAACAGAATGGTATCGAATCCAGAGAAGTGAATGAAAAATATTTTGTGTTGAATCATACTTAGCTTTCTGCTTGTTTTTACTTAGTGTTTTTTGTTTTCTTTTCTTTTTCTTTGTTTGTCCGGTAGGACACTCAGTGAATACAAGAATAGGAGATTTCTTGATACCCCCTAACCAATAAATAATAATTTCAGTCCCTTCCACAGCAGTCAGTGAAATAAGATGGAACTCGCTTATAGCATGTTGGATTGCTGCTTTTAGTAGTTGATAATAATTATTGGCAGTTTAAATAAAATTTTAGTGATGTATATACATCTAAGTTAGTTACAAGTCTTCCTTGACAGATAATTAATCATAGTTTTGTAGGCAGAATAGTTTTAAATGGTTTGCTCTGCTGAGATTGTCGTGGTTCCTACTGTATCTCTGACTCTGTTTAATGGAAGTTGACTACTACTCAGTAACAAGGGCAGCTTTCCCAAGTTGACTTGAATGAGCCTTTTCTCTGGTCAGCATCTTTGTTTCTCTTTCAGCTTCTGCAGAGCCTGTGGAGACATCCCGCTGGACAGAAGAAGAAATGGAAGTTGCCAAGAAAGGTAAACCTTGTCAAGCTTTTTGACTTACTTCTGAATACTTGTATTTATAAATCATGATAATTTATTGAATTGCTGAATACGAGTGCTGTGGGTTTTTGCAACACCATGCTGAATGAATAATTTGAAAATTGCTGTTGTTGTTTTCTAAAAAAAAGAAAAGCAAACATCTTTAACAGACAAAATCAGGTTTTTGAGACTCATGTTGACTTTTTTCTTATGGGCTGCTTAGAACTGTTTGATGTGGTACTTAGTCCACCGAAGTCTTTGAAACAGATGTGAAGGTGTGTATGTTATGTAAATTTTCAAAGTAATGTGTCCATAAGTTACAAAAATTTGTTCTGTATGAGACATTCTTTTCATAGAAAAGCTAATGTAGTTTATAACTTGTCTATTTATTTGGCAGATACTGTTAACTGTACATTTTATGTGTAAAATCAGTATTTTAGCAGAGGTGTTACAAATTAGCAAGAGCAAAGAGTTAAGTTTGAAGGCTTCATAAGCAGACATTCAGGTTGACACAGCTTTTTTTCACCCCATAAGTAGTTACAAATACATTGTCATACTGAGAGTTAAGGACAGCAGTACTTCTGTATCTTACCTTCCCATAGGCGTTGCTCCGTTTATTTGGGTTTGGACAGCTGAATTACTTATCATAGTAAATATTGGTTCTTATATGTTTGAACAGGCCTAGTGGAACATGGACGAAACTGGGCAGCAATTGCCAAAATGGTTGGGACAAAAAGTGAAGCTCAGTGTAAGAACTTCTACTTCAACTATAAAAGACGACACAATCTGGACAGCCTCCTCCAACAGCACAAACAGAAGGTAAGGGCAGTGGGCACTGAATATTTTGCAGGGGAAAGCTTGGCGTCTTTCTGAAGTCATTCATCACAATTCACTGAAACTGTTTTGCAATCATCACCTGTTTCCTTTTCTACTTGTTTTTGTATTGTGACATAGAAAAGGGGGCTGATACTCCCTGACCTGTGATACTGATCACTCCTTGCTTTAAAATGCAATAGAAAATTTTCTATCAGATGGAACACTCAAGCCTGAAGAATTCCTTAGTGCTCTGAAAACCACGTTCCTCATCAGTACACCAGCAACTATAGAAGTTCAGGTCATCGCTGTAGAACTGTTACCTTGAAACACAATAAACACTGACCTTGCAAGATGGAGTGAGAGAGATGGTAGAAGGCCAGGAACATAAAGTTTTGGGATATCTAAAGTAGAATCTTGAGTGTTGGAATCCTCTAAACTGCAGAGTTGTCCTAGTCTTCTCTCACTGAAGTGAAGAGCATCAGTGTCTGTGTTTGCTGCAGTAGTTCTTTTGTCCCCTAAACACATCATGAAACAGTGGTTTGTTCCCAAACTTATTTTTGACCAGGAGCAGCAAAAGCCTGAAGTTGAAAGA